ATGTGGGCAAAGCCAAAGGAGACACTAGTCCATATTAGAGATGTGAAGGCCCAGAGAAAAACCGGAAAAATTCGGGGGAAAAACAATTTTTTCCTGAAGATTTTTTGTTTTTTTCCGAAAAATTGGAAAAATTGAAAAAAGAAAAGAAAAAAATTGTTTATGGAACATTTTATTTTAACATGATGAATAAAATATTTTAAGACAAGGTGTTCAAATATGATCTCTGTGCACTGAGGACAAGCAAGTCCTAGATTACAAACTGAACTCTCCAATGCAAGAACAAGTATTGATTATGGAATGTTTTATTTTAACATGATAAATAAAATATTTTAAGACAAGGTGTTCAAATATTTTCCAAATAATTTCAGATTGATCTAATTTCTGTGCACTGAGGACAAGCAAGTCCTAGGTTACAAACTGAACTCTCCAATGCAAGATGCATTTCTTCCTTTAGGAGGTGCTATTGTCAGAAGACAATAAAAAGGTTTCAGTTTTGTTTTTGCATGTGGGTGGGTATTCTGTTTGTAATAATTGTTTGGATACACAATATTTTTAATATGCTAGTTGTGATAATTTCATGCCAAATAAAAATGTCCATAGTCATATTTTATGTTCCTAAAGTAACAGAATGACTTTCAATCTACAAAAGACAAAAGAAATGCTAATGTAGCATTTTTTTCAATTTTTCCTAAAATTTCCGTTTCCCCCCCGAAAAAAACCGGGTTTTTTTCCAAGCTTCAAAATTTCCGGAAATTTTACATCTCTAGTCCATATTGCTCTGGACTGGACCATCAGAGCAAATGGGTTGGATCAAACAATGCGATTAGTTACCGTGTCAGACCGGGATTTTTGAGAACCAGGTTCGAATCCCCGCTGTGCCGTGGAAGCTCACCAGGTGACGTTGGGCCAGTCACAAACTCTCAGCCTAACCTACCTCACAGGGTTGTTGTGAGGATAAAATGGAGGAGAGAACTATGTAAGCTGCTTTGGGTCCCTGCTGGGGAAAAAGGCAGGGTACAAATGAAGTAAAACCCAACTCCCTTAACTCCAACTTACGTACAAGCTCTGACTCAGGAATCCAACTCCCGACCCTTGGCGGGGCAGCTTTAGTGCCAGCGGCGACAGTGAGGAGTCTAGGAGTGATCCTGGATGCCCCACTCTCGATGGAGGCCCAGGTCAGGAACACTCACTGCCAGATCGGCCTTTATACTGTTGTCGGCTGCTCAGGGAGCTGGTTCCCTATCTCTCCTCCCGCGACTTGGCAATGGTCGGAGGTCATTTCAGGGGGGATCGCGGGGGATCGCAGTTCCCCCGGGTGAGGTACGGGGAGGCGGGGCACATGACGAAGCCCCACCCCTTGCTTCCGGCCACCCCGCTTCCGGCCCTCATTCAGCCAGGAGGAGGCAGGAGAAGAGGGAGGGTAAGTTGCTTCCTCCCTGCCTCTCCCCACCCCTGCCTGCCTGGGGCCAGGGAGGGCCTTTGCGGGGCTTCCTTGCACTCCCGCCGGCCTTGCAGGTCCACCGCTGAGCCCCTCATGGGGCTCGGCAGTGGAGCTGCAAGGCCGATGGCGGCGGCTGGGACCGTTGGGGGCGGGGTGTGTGGCCTTATTTATCATCCGACTCTGGTTATGATCTGGTTATGATCTGGTTATGACACACTTCCGGTGATGTCAGGGGGTGTGGCCTTATGACACACTTCTGGTGATGTCAGGGGGTGTGGCATATGCTAATGAGTTATGCTAATGAGTTCCCCTAGCTATTTTTCTACGAAACGACCCCTGGCAATAGTGATCCATGCAGTGGTCACCTCCAGACTGGATTACTGCCATTCGCTCTACGCAGGACTGCCCTTGAACCTGACCCGGAAACCAGTTTGTGCAAAATGCAGCGGCATGCCTCCTGTCTGGGATGTTTTTGCGGGTGTCCATACAGCCAGTGCTTTGCCAGCTGTATTGGTTTATTTATTTATTTACCCCGCCCTCCCGGCCAAGGCTGGCTCAGGGCGGCTTCCACGACAAAGTAAAATTCCAACAGCACAGCGTTAAATCATCAATTAATACAAATAACAATGTTAAAGCCAACAACACAATAAAGCGATGGCAAACATAATTTCCTCATTTTACAGCCAGCTTTTTTGGCCTTCTTCAGTCGTCTTGGGTGATTAGCTCTAGGCGGCAATTAAATTGCCAGTCGAGTACCGGATTAGGTTCGAGGTTTCGGTTTTAACCCTCAGGGCCCTATGCAATCAGGGACCAACATATCTGCGGGACCGTCTCTCCCAATATGTTCCCCAAAGAGCTTTATGCTTGGCATAACAACACTTACTGGAAATCCCCGGCCCTAGGGACATTTGCTTAGCCTCGACCACAGCCAGGGCTTTTTCGGCTTTGGCTCCGGCCTGGTGGAACACGCTCCCAACTGCGGTCAGGGCCCTGAGGGACTTATTACAATTCCGCAGGGCCTGTAAAACAGAGCTGTTCTGCCAGGCCTTTGGTTGAGGCAGTGGATGCCTCACTATATCCGGCCTCCCCTGCTCTAACCAGCCTCTGCTGTTAGTTATATCTGTGTATCAGAGGCTGGAGGCCAATTATTACCTGATGGCCCTTCCTGGGCTCATCTACAGTCACATCCTTGAGGTTTATGTACTGCCATCTCGCCATCCTGTAGTTAGTTGGGTTGTAGGTTTTAACTGGAATTCGTATGAAACTATTTCTTATGCTTCACTGGTACTTTGTAACCCACCCTAGGAAGGGCGGGATAAAAATCCCATAAATTAATAAATAGAAAAAAATTAAAAATCCAGCTAGCTATCTTGAGCCGTCTTCTTCAGTCTCCCCTCCTTTCTACAGACACCTCTCCCATGGCTTTTGTTCATGCGGGCTCCTTCCCAGCAGAGCCGTTTTTCCTCTCTTTCCCACAAGCAGGAAAACTGGCTGGACCCAGCCCAAAGTCTGGCAGGCCCTACGCCTCCCCTCTCAATGCTGCAGTGACAGGACAAGCCACCCATGCCGGCACTTCCCTTCCCTGAAGCTGGGAGAAGTCTTAACAGAGATCTGCAAGGTTAGGTCTCAAAGCCTCCCAAGCTAGGGAAGAGTCAAGACTGGACGTTCAATCCCTTCTAACTAGGAGTGTGCAAGAAATAATAATAATCCAGTTTTTTTCCAGATTCAGGTCTACTGGACCCGAAAAATATCAGTATTCCCGAATATTCTCAAATACCAATATTTGTTTTTGTATTGGGATTCAGGTAAATAATCGGGAAACCCAAATTTATTCAGCTCCATTATACCCTATGGGAACAGTCCCCATAGCGTATAATGGAGAAGGGACTTAAACTTTAAATGCTTGCTGAGTTCACTCACAGAGTCCTGCTACCACTGCTTGAATAAAAGCCAAATAATATCGGCTTTTATTCAGGGGCTGCTATTTCGGTAGCCAAATACAATAAATACCCAAAAAATAACAATAAGGTATTTTTCAGGTATTTATTTGGCTTCGAAAATACCAAGCACACACACCCCTACTTCTAACTTTCTTCTGCTGCTTGCTTGCCTGTACTACGCAAGTGTGCTCTTACTCAGCCAGATGCCTGCGTGTCCGAGACTGCTCCGCACGGTACGACTGAGCGATGCAAAACACGTCTCCCAAGGCCGGGATGCAGGTCTCCAGGTACAGCTGGGACGACTGCGTCAAGTACGCCTCTTCCCCGAAATAGTCCAGTTTGAAGAGAGTTGAGCCTCCCTCAACCTGCGTTTGGACCAGCGTCGGTGGGGTGATCTAGAAAAGAAAAACCGGCATCACACATTTATCATAGAAGTCAGTCTCCAGGGAAACAATGTGTGAAGTGTTGCCTCAGTGTAGAAGCTGATGACGACTGTGTAATGATTTCACGTTACAAGTGTGCGTTTCTTTAAATGGTTGGTAAGTTTCAGAAAAACAAGGGTGGTAAAAGAGGGAGATGAGTAAGGTGATTGGTTGGTGACTGAGAGTGTACAGGCAGAGCTAAGAAGTGTGTATGTGGAGAGAGAGAGAAGGCATTGAGTGTTCAGTCAGAAGCTGTCAGTTGTGGTCAGTCTACAGAGTCTGAGAAGCAGTCTTCTAATTAGAATCCTATATAAGTGCTGTGAAAGGCATTAAGATTCTAAAGGAGAAAGTAAAATACTTCAGGGGGCAAATTAGCCAAAATCTAATATTGTCAAGAGTATGATGTCTCCAAACATTTTTGGAAATGGGTACATTGTATGATGGAAAAAATAGTAAGATGTAACATCCCCTTTACTCCTGAATTGCTTTTGTTAAATATCTTTCCGAAAGAGTTTAAAGAAACGGATAGATACTTGATTGTATATATGTCAACGGCAGCAAGGATATTGTACGCCAAATATTGGAAGACCCAAGAAACACCAACTAAAGAAGAATACATTAATAAACTACTAGAAGCTGCGGAATCAGTCTCCAGGGAAACAATGTGTGAAGTGTTGCCTCAGTGTAGAAGCTGATGACGACTGTGTAATGATTTCACGTTACAAGTGTGCGTTTCTTTAAATGGTTGGTAAGTTTCAGAAAAACAAGGGTGGTAAAAGAGGGAGATGAGTAAGGTGATTGGTTGGTGACTGAGAGTGTACAGGCAGAGCTAAGAAGTGTGTATGTGGAGAGAGAGAGAAGGCATTGAGTGTTCAGTCAGAAGCTGTCAGTTGTGGTCAGTCTACAGAGTCTGAGAAGCAGTCTTCTAATTAGAATCCTATATAAGTGCTGTGAAAGGCATTAAGATTCTAAAGGAGAAAGTAAAATACTTCAGGGGGCAAATGAGCCAAAACCTAATATTGTCAAGAGTGTGAGGGGGAAAAAACTGACAGAAACCTGAGTTAAAAGGGGAAAGATTTTACTGAGCAACATATAATAAACACTGGAGAAGCAATGCTCCCTCTAAGCTGTGGAGTCTTGTGAGCAAACAAAATCTACTTTGTGAGCTACTGGCATTAAAATTGTGAGCGAGCGATCTGGCTACTGCATACATTTGTTTGCTGTGGAGCCCTCCTTCCTGAGCTAAAATAAAAGTGTGTAAGCCAGAGGCTAAAAAAACTGTGAGCTAGTTCACACTAACTCAGCTTAGAGGGAACACTGTGGAGAAGGTATATTCCACTGAAGAGACAAGTAAGAAAACATCTTGTAACCAATACGCTTCTTGTGCAAATAAAGTTTTATCTTGTTTATTCATAACCCAGAGTCATATGCTGTTTAAAATATAAGAGTCTCATCCTCAGAACCACATAGTCCAATGAAGGAGCCTTAGAGCTTTGGCACAATACTATGGGAGAGGATAATTAAAGACGGGAATTAAATTCCTTGTGGCAGCGACTGATACTCTGAGTGAGAGAAAGAAACAACAAGAAATTTAAAACTACATAACACCTAACCACACATATTAAAAGAGAGGTACTGTGACAGACCTAGCTGTTTGAAAGCAAGAAATTGCAAGTAGATAAATAGATACCACTTCAGTGGGAAGGTAACAGCGTTCCGTGCGCCTTGGTGTTTAGTCATGCCGGCCACATGACCACGGAAACGTCTTCGGACAGCGCTGGCTCTTCAGCTTTGAAACGGAGATGAGCACCGCAACCCTAGAGTCGGATTTGACTGGCTTTCGAGCAAGGGAACCTTTACCTTTAATGTGACAGACTGCTAGTGAAAAACCCAATTTTCACCATATTTCTAGTCCTCATGGCTGCAGAAAAGATATAAATACATATATGTAGGTCTAGCTCTTGTGAATCTGCAGGATTATTTTATAGATCCTGGTTTCGGCAGGTGGTTCATGATTCAATACTGCAAGTAACATGGCTTTAGTTTTAAAAACCAAATATCTAGCAATTAAAACTGCAGATAACTACTTAGAAGCTGTGTGTATAGGCAGCCAGAAAAAGCATCTAATGTTTGATAAACCTGTATCTTGAACACAGAAGAAAACAGGGCTGTCCAGGCATTCAAAAGGAGTACTTGGGAAATAAATTCACTTCTTTACAACTTACAGATAACGTATGGAAGGCACAAAGTGATTCCCAAAATTGGAAGGTGTATTTGGGGGCACCGTCAAAAAGGTTCAATGCACAGCGGGGCCAATGCTCCTCACAAAACCCCACAAATCGTTAGCATGTTTATGCAGAGCACAACTGAACAGAAGATACCAGGGAACTGTTTATGCCCATTCTGGTAGGTTCTGATTAGCACGACAATTGTGGACGGAGAGGAGGTCCGTCTTAGTGCAGGGTACACCAATCTCTCCACATCTGAAGATGGCTTTCTAACAGACACCAAATACATTTCTTTAAGAAGAAATGGATGAAGAAACTCTGAGGCGCAGAAACGCCCTTTTCATATTAGCGCAGACACACACTACTTACTTCGTAATAGCCCCGGTCGAAGAAGTGGTCCCGGAAGCACTGGACAACCGTGGAGCGCACCTTCAAGATTTTGGTCAGGGTGTCCCCTCGAATCATCATGTGCCGGTTGTTCAGCTGCACGTCCACGTCCGACTCTTCGTTGACCAAGTTATCAACCCCACCGGCTGGAGCCAAGCCGACGAGCTCCCAGTAGTCGCAGGTCAACTCGTGGCCTCCGGGAGCCTGCGGGGTTTTAGCGGGATGAGGGTAAAAGCCATGAAACTCCCTCAGAGCCATGAAACTCCCTCAGAGCCATGAAACTCCCTGATACTGGGCATGGCGGTCCAGTGGCCCAACCCAGTGTTGTCTACTCAGGCTGGCAGTGGCTCTTCAGGGTCTCAGCAGGGGCTTGGATAAACCTTTCTCTGCCTACCTGCATTTATTTACATCATTTATACCCAACCTTTTCACCCAAAACAGGGCCATGAAAGTAGCTAACAACTAAAAGCAGAAACTCATCACAAAAGTCCATTAAACCCAAAAATATGTATTTGTTTCAAGCAATTAAAACATAGGGTGGGTAAGAGACACCCCTGGGAATGCCACATGCAAAAAAAGACAACCTTTGCCTACTAACCGTGATGGAAGGGGACAAAAAAATATCCCCGGGGAGGGAGTTCTACTGTGTTGGTGCTGTGATTGAGAATGCCATTGCTCAGAGGTTGCATCCACCTAAGTCTGAAGTTCCACCGCAGCCTGCAGAAGAAAAATCTCCCCCTCTCTCTTCCCTCTCCCCCAACTCTGCTTTTTTGTCTTTTGCCTGAATAGCATTTGAGTCCTGTATGGCTCAATTACTAACTCAATACTTTTCCAGTTGGTTTTATTTATAGAAAAGATACAGTGATACTATTCCCACGTGACTTTTTTTGTAATGAACTTGGAGAACCATCTCGACAGACCGTTAGTCAGAATCAAGGCCTTAAAAGTGTGCTATGAAAAATTATATACTTGATACCTGGTCTAATATCACGGCACAGGGAGCAAACTCCTTATTATTACGCACAGGCCTACTGCTAAAGAGACCTGGCTTGTTATTTATGCCAATATTCCTACACTGTGTACTCTCGACAGCTCCCCCTGCTGGTTTGCATCAGCACACATTCCCTGAACTACAGAAATGATTTTTTGTAATGCCTCAATGGAAAAGCATACAGACCAATTAGTGGAATTTACAGATAAAGTTTCTGGTGAAGAGGGGGGGGGATTGGGTTTATACCCCGCCCTTCACTACCTGAAGGAGTCTCCGAGTGGCTTACAATCTCCTTTCCCTTCTCTTCCCCACAACAGACACCCTGTGAGCAGTGTTCCCTCTAAGCTGAGTTACTGTGAGCTAGCCCACAGTTTTTTAGCCTCCAGCTCACACATTTTTGTCATAGCCCAGGAAGGATGGCTTCAGAGCAAACTAATTTATGCAGCAGCCGAATCTCCTGCTCACAACGTTAATGCCAGTAGCTCACAAAGTAGAATTTTTGCTCACAGGGCTCCATAGCTTAGAGGGAACATTGCCTGTGAGGTAGGTGGGGCTGAGAGAGCTCGTTTGAGAACTGCCCTTGAGAGAACAGCTCTGAAAGAACTTATGACTGACCCAAGGTCACACCAGCAGATGCACGCAGAGGAGTGGGGGAAAGCGAAGTGTGTGTGCTGGGGGGGGAAGAACACCTTCAGAGCAGTGTTCACCACTGAAAAGCATTCTTCATGGGGAGTAAAAACCAGCCTGGTAGCCATCGAACTAAATGACTAGGGAAACGGGGCACCCAGAGAATTCAGCATCCAGAGAATTCAGATGACCAACAGGTGAAGCCCAGGACACACCATCCTAGCCTCCAATGTACTCGGTTTTGTTTGGATAGCGAGCAGAAGCGTGGAGCGGATGTTCTCCCACGCGGTTTGCAAACACGGTTTCCCAACCAAGTGTCAACTAACGGCAGCCCAGAGCCAGAGACACCCACCAGTCCCCCAGGAGTGCCAAACCTCTGCTCACCTGCTTGCCTTCAGGGACCAGGTTGAGTGTTCCGTAGACAGCGACAGTGCTCTCGGTGGAGAGAAGAACCCCATTGTAACACTGGCACTAGGAGAGACAGAGAGGAGACTATTCAGCCTGGGGGAGGTCCAAGGTTTTCTTTTGGACTGGGGGAGGGGGAGCAAACTCTTACTTCTTCTCAAACAACAGACACTCCTGTCAGGACCCACGGCAAAACAACGAAGTACACGCTTCCAGGAAGGTTTTACTTTTATTGAAAAGCCATAGATGCCATAACATGAACACTGTTAGGAATGGCGGCTACCTGTCTGCATAATAGGATATAAGGCATTCGTATGCACCCCCCTTAGCAATACCCAATTAGGTGGACTCCCGCACGCGGGAGATTGCAAGAGCCTCTAACAGTAGCGAAGCTGGGAACGAAGAAGCTCCCACGGAAGGTAGACACCACAATCTCCTCCAGTAACTCTTTACAGATAAACGTTGCAGCTGTGAAGCAATTAAGCGCATAGGAAGGAATGCAAAGCAATTAGAAAGTCTCTCCACACTCATGGCAGCTTAGCTGACAACT